GAAGTGTGGTGCTCCGAGGAAATGATATAATTTAAATATAGTATATTTAAAATATATCTACAAATTATCTATTTCAGAATTCTAAACTTTAAATTACCCTACACACGCTAAGTCCAAGTAAATCAAACTTTTGTGAAGCACATTCAACTCTGTACAGAACAAAGTACTCACTGCGAATATTTCATTGATTAAGATCGGGAGTTAGCGTGCGTTAAGTGTTCCCTTTATTTTTTTGAGCAGTGTATATACATGTATATATTTGTGTTGATAAGCCTGAGTGGTCTGTTGGCTGACCTTTGTATTTGTTCAAATAATTGTTATGGGCAGGTTACAATATAAAAATGTTTGTTATAATCATGTCTTGTGATTATTTGACAGGAGTTTTACTTTTAAACTGTAAGTGTATTTAATTTAGTTATGTTAGTTATGATAGTTTAGTTATGATGTAAAAACAATAAAAATTAAACAAAGATTTATAATAATTATAATTTGATCCACACATTGGTAATGTCTGACTGGACCTCGTGTCACTTTATGTTCAATAAATTGGGCCCCGAGGTCAAAAAGGTTAAGAAGTCCTGGTTTAGATGTCCCACTCTGTACTAGAGAGGACTGTGTTGTTGTTGTTTATGTCAACCTCTTGTTAGAGGAAGAATCATTAAACATTTGTCTTTGGTCAGATGGTTGTTTGGTTGAAAATAATCTATAAAAATAACTGAATCAACTTAGAACAAAAGCTAAAAAAGTACAAAAGCAACTGAGAAGAAACAAACATTTTGAAGTCATTTTATTTTTGACATTTCCACATTTTGTTTTGATTTTCACATTTGACTAAATTTCTACCTTCCATGTTTTGCTGTAATTCTGTGGTTTTTGGTGCTCTTCCATCATTCATACTGTCCAGATAAAATGAGAACAGTCATGAGTTTGTTTTGATGATAGGATCAGAGGTGGGGAATGTGTCGTGGTAAACCCAATGAGCCCAGTGCCACATTAGAAACCTGACTGGAGCTTTTCTCACGTCATAAAGAGGATTAACAACACTGATGAGTCGATTCTGATGCTTCAGGACAAACATCTGCAGGCTGCTGATCTCATTTACTCAAACAACTTCAACCTGTAAAATTATTCTGAATAAAGGTACCAAGTACTAACAAAAATCACCAGATTTGTCCTGAAATATAAGAATAAAAACTATGAAATCTTTAGCTAAGAATTACTCAGCGGAGGAGGATCTATGCCTGGGCGAGGGCTTGCTTCAGATCTCGGAGCAACATGGACGCTACGACGCTCTTCTCTGTGTTGATGGTGAGCAGCGCAGTGGAGGACTCCTTGGGCTCCAGTGAGACCAGGACCAGGTCTCCACTGCTGATTGTACGTCCAGCAAACCTGAACATAGAGACAAAAACATCAATAAGTTCATCAAAACACTCTGTAGGTTGAAAATGAGCTGCCAGATTTATTTATTTATTTTTAATAAGTACAGAGGTCTGCAGAGGGCAGAACAACATGTCTCTTATTTCTCTCTTCTCACTCGAGTCAGAAAAGGGAAATATTTTCCAGAGATCCCACACCTTGGTCAACATCAAATTCAAGGACCTTTCAAGGACTTTCCAGTACCAATTCCCTCAAATTCACGCACAACGGAAATTACCTACTGCAGACTGTTTCCAATAAACAGGTTTAATATGTAAATTCAATGAAAAACTGAAGACAGAAGTTGAGTCAGAATCAATGAAAGAAAGTGGATTAAATGTTTACCCTACGTTCATATCTACAACATGTAATCATGTCCTGGAGCTTCAGCTGCTCAGTTTGGGAGGAGGGGATGTGAACATGTCCAGACACTGAGGACAGGAGGAGCTGTGGTGCTTCACCTGGGCTCAGAAAGACCCGCCCTGCTCTG